GCTCCGGTGAGCTTCATACGCTAGTCGTTGAAGGTTTGGAATCAGGGTTTAGCCATCTGCCCTAGGCTGTCATCCAATGGACAGTCAACCCGGTGAAGAGCGCCGGAAATCCTCTTTTGCCCTCTCACTTCGGTGAGAAGCACCTCCGCCACGTGAAGGCAGTGAATAGGAATTCCTCAGGAGAGGCTATGTAAGACGCTCGGTCATATTGGAGCATTTCAAGAGGTGTACGGAGGGGTGGCCAACCCGCAGCGCAAGGCACCCACCCCGACCATCCTGAGGCTGAGGCTTTGGAGGCCGAACAATAGGTTGTAAATCAATTAAAAATGTGCATGAATGGGTGCATTTAGCGACTCCTTAGACATAATTGAATAATGATTATAACAACAAGAAAAATAATGAAAATCAAATGAATTATTATCTCGGATGGAAATTTAGGTAGCCCAATGATTCAAACAGACCGCCTTTTTCTTTGCAATATATAGTCTAGGAGGAAAATGGAAAATTATCACAAAGGATGTATGCCTTAGTAACCATTTATGAACATACTCTTTCTGATAACGTTGAAACATCCTATTAGTTCTACTTATGTGTACGTGTGTGTGTATGTGTGTAATCCCAACTGCAGGTGAGCTTGTAGATAGAGTGTGAAGTATAGTCCACAGGGCAAAGTTAAACTTTCGACACCACTAAAAAGCAATCAGCAAACGACCTTGAACGAACCAATCACATTAAAGAGGCATTTATGGTAAATAGAAACGTATATTTATAGAAAAAAGCATAAAAAAAGGATAAAACGGTTACAAGGAGTATCTTTCTGGAACATGTGAGATAAACATCTCCCAGTTTATCATGGGACTGTCAATGGAGAAGTCACACCACATCCTGTACATATATTCATTTAAATGACTATAAATGAGATCCTTTTGAGATCCATTTATAACCCTTATCCTGTTTTTCAAGTGGCCTCAAAACCCTTCAATGGAATTTGTATGAGTCCTCGTAACGGGATTCACCCAGCAAACAAGTGATTTTCTCTATTTTCCACGAAGCAATATCTCTGCAATGCTGGTACCACTGAACTTTTGAGACGAGGCTATTCTCCGTCTCGGCATGCTGCTGCTCCCACCGGCTGTTTCAACACCCAGTAGTTGCAGATATAGAAAATCTGGGTTAGGGAGAGATGCGTCCTAGCTAAAAAATTTCCTACGAAATATTAAAATGATCAGCTTACCCTCTCTAATGTTAGCACGTTTCAAACATATAGCACAACGATGAACAAATCCATCAGTTGATCTGCTATAGCTTTTTAAAGTCATGATATCACCACATGAGCAAGTTCGCTCCTTCCGGAGCAACCTTGAATCCAGGCAATACTGGAAAACGCTGTCCTCCTCGAATTGCAACCGTAACCTTGTAAGGTCACGCATTAGAAATGAATCAAGCGCTATACAACATTGAACTACGTTCGTGAATCTCATTGGATAATTCGACGTCGTTCGCTGATTGGCAGCTAGTGGTGTCGAAAGTTTAACTTGACCGTCCACAGTGTTTCGCCTTTTAATTCTAGGTACAGAAATGAGAAATTGTTCGAGATGCAAGGAAAAGGAGAGATACACCGTAGAATATGCGCTTGATGGCTGACCAAAGCTTTTAAGCTATCAACTGCATGATTTGATCACGCTTAAATGGTAGTTCGATAAAGGCAGACTCGTTAGGCTATGGAAGTTGTCTTTTCAAGAGGCAGTCTCCTCCTTTCTGTGATAATATGATGATGTTTTCGGGATAAGCATTAGCCAATAAAAACTGAATTCAAGTGTTGGTTTGTAGGGATTTGATTGGTTTCAGGATTTCATCATGAGCTGACATTAGTTAGAGAACCATCGGAAAACCTGGGAGTACTGGACAGCTGTTTCCTCCTTCCTAGTTTGGGACTCTTCAGCAGTACGCACCCGCCGGGATCCGAACCCAGGACCTTCCGGTTACAAGGCGAGCTCGTAGACTATTGAGCCACTGGGACCCGATCCAACGGTATACGAGCTCGCCTTGTAACCGGAAGGTCCTGGGTTCGAATCCCGGTGGGTGCGTACTGCTGAAGAGTCCCAAACTAGGACGAAACAGCTGTCTAGTACTCCCAGGTTTTCCAATGGTTCTCTAACTAATGTCAGCTCATGATGAAATCCAAAAACTGAATTTGTGTATGCGGCATAGCTCATTCGTCATTCGTGTGAACTTTAAGGGCCCTTGAAAATAGGCATTTCACTACGAAACGTTTTATACACTCGATGTTTGATTGCAAAATACGGATAACCTTATTGTTCAATTGTCCATCCTGGTCAATGAAATATCCAGTAAACCCAGTTTGTTATTCAGTTCGAATTCTGAGGTCATCTAAATATTTGGATGAATATTGTTAGTGACGTTTTTCAATCGACTCATTATTGTCACTAATAATTGATTTTGTGATCTAACCTGTTCCACTTCACAAGACTGTTGGTTTCATTTATGATTTTATCACAAACAATGGAATACGATTATCTATGCCTGTCACTTACAATTATTATCTTGACATGTACAGAGATCAATGGGGAACTTCCTCTGTGCTACGACAGATTTGAGGCTTCTATTCAAATCTGATTTGACATTCTGGGCTCGTTTGCTTCGCACCAAGATAACCCATTCATTGAACGATTCTCTTTTCCTCGATGTGATAGATAGTTCGGAAAGAGGAGAAGACCTCTGTGATATATTTCTGTGCAACTTGAATGTACGCGAGCTAATAGCATCGATAAGGTTTCTAGTGTGACGTTGAAGAGTTTTGGAATTGGGATAAATAGGATGCCTTTGGAGAGTGCCTTACAGAACCACTTCGGATATCGACAATTCTTAATGCAGTTTTCAAAGAAGTCCAATTTTGGATTCACGTTGGCAAGTTTAACAGAGTAATGCAGAAACCCATTATTGAGTTCCTTCACTGTCGTAGGGTCCTTGCATTTTTTTTTCAAATCGTGGAAAATATCCATTTGGACATTAGAGGGAAAAGAACAAGAAGTTCAGAAAAAGATGGCGATCTTTTCGGCGATTTCATTCTCAAAAGCCGCTGTACAACCACACTTATATACATTAGTTTGCATGGATTCCACTTGATATAAAAGTTTGAAGGTATGAATGAAGGTATGATTTACAAGCGGCTTACAGACAAGATTACATGGGATTAGAAAACAGTTACAACGTATGCAAAATTTATATGTGATAATCGAAGAACTGATTTTAAAGACGAATAAAAGGTGGCAATTATTTTCAACTTGGTATGAGAATTACAAGAGGCTTAGAGACAAAAATTACGCACGGAGAGAACGAATTACCGATGTGAACAAAATGAGCATGGAAATTAAAATTGAAATTAAAATTTTCAACTTGAAATATAAGTTAGGAGGTGTGAATATAGATTACAGGAGGCACAGAAACACGTCACACTAGGAACCTTATTGATTCTATTAGCTCGCGTACATTCAAGTTGCACAGAAATATATCACAGAGGTCTTCTCCTCTTTCCGAACTATCTATCACATCAAGGAAAAGAGAATCTTTCAATGAATGGGTTATCTTGGTGCGAAGCAAACGAGCTGAGAATGTCAAATCACATTTGAACAGGAGTATCAAACGTTAATGGATGATACACTTATTATTAGTGACAATAGTGAGTTGATTGAAAACTTCATTACTCCAGGTATTCGAGTAGTGATCTCAGAATTCTAATTGAATAACACAATGTGACATTGAAAATAAACCATCCGAATTTCACAGATGATTCATGCTTTTAATATCACACAAACTCGGAAACTTGCAGGTGAAAATCAATAAAGTAGCTGAAGAAGCGGACAGGCGGCGAAGACAAGACTCCAGGTGAACATAGAGAAGATAGAGGTGATGAAGATAACCAACCTGCAGAATCATCAATAACCGGAAAGATTTGACAGAGGCGACCTCCTGTCTTCATTCATCTGACCGGGAAGCGCGGTTTCAACCACAGTTATGCGGACATCACGGATGAAGATGTCAATGTCAGTCAGCCAGCCAGCCAAAATCTGAAAGTCAAGGTAACCGGTTTGGAAATCTTCCGCACACAGTGAACATCAAGAACAAGATTTGGATATTCAACTCAAATGTGAAGTCAGTCAGTCAGTCAGTTCTCCTATACGGGTCAGAAATTTGGCCAGAGTGTCACGAAAAGGATTTCCCACAGGCTACTGCAGACTGTTGTCAACAGCTGCCGTCTCTGCCTCCCTATTGAAGACCGAATTACCGACCGACTGGCCAGAAGGCATTAGCAGAAAGAAACTCTAGCTGGCAAAAAACCACCAACAGGCAACAACCAATTGCTCAAAAAATATGTAGGAGAAAATGGAGGTGTATTGGGCATACGTTGAGGAGGTTGTCTAATGATATCGCGTGCAATGCAGGTAGCCGCTCGAGTGGATTCCCGATTGGAAGCGACGACTGGGTCGTCGCTGTGAGGGTGACGTTGAAGAGATGGTGGGAGGTGAGGAGGAGATGACAAATTATGTGTAATCGTGTAGCTAGTCAGCTGAATAGAGAGTAGGAAATAGCAGAGGGTAGAGATGTGTTGTTGACGGCCTATGTTCCACTCGGAACCCAAGGAATAATAATGATACAACAAACTGGATTTGTTGTGTATTTCAATGACTAGGAGAGACGATGGAGCAATAAAGTGATTAATATTTCACAGAGTATATCACAGAGTAGATAATATCTTCATTTTAACAGTTTTGTTCCTACCTAGTATAAACACGTCCCCTGGTGATGAAAAATGCCTGTTTCCAAGGTCCCATAAAATCTGCACGATTATTTTATTTACTTATTTATTTTTATTATTTTCACACATAATTTGAAAAAATATATATGTATATATACATATTATTCCTTTAGTTCCCTACTTTAACAATTCTTCCATCAAATCATCGATTTTATCTGCTTATATGATTGCCTCGATATCAGCTGAAGAGTTCCAGCGTTTCCAGTCACAACTACTCGATTTACGCGAAGCACAGATAACAGCGAATGAAGCTCGGTTGAAAGCAGAAAAACGTGTAAAACAATTAGAAGAAGAACTTTCACACACTAAATTAACTCTAGTCGAAGCTCAATCAACTTCAGCCAATCGTTCACGTCTTGAAGAGTTGAAACAAGAGAATGCACTTTTACGTGATAAACTATTGAGTACAGAATCATCATTTCAACTGCAGTCGTCAACTCTACGCGCTGAATGTCATCGTTTAACAAATGAATTAGATGAATTACAACAAAAACTATCACAAAGTAATAATAAAGTGAAAAATTCAAAATTATGCCAAACAATTAATAATAATAGTCATAATACACTCAATATTCAACATAAATCTATACAAGTCAATTGTGATGATCCTGATGATTATCAAATTCCCGCTTTTTTGAAGCACAACATTGAACAACTTGAACATTCATTAGAAACCGCCAATTCAACACATCATCGGTTAAAACAAACTATTGAACAGCTGAATAGTCGAGTTACTCTACTCGAGAATAAATTATCTGTGGAAATATCTAATTATCAAAATCAAATAGATCAATTGAATAATGAGAAAAATTCCTTGTGTACAGAATTGCATACATATCAAGAAAAGATGATGCAATCTGAGGTATTGGAAAAAGAATTACGCAATCAAATTGATTCAGTAAAACGTCGTAGTGAAAAACTGAATCATGAGTTAAGACGTCAATTGAATCGATTTCTCCGCGGTTGTAATAATAACAATAGTGATGTAGAGGCTGCAAATCTACGGAAAACTTCACTACACTCTTCATCTTCGTCGTTGTCGAGTAATTTTAATGTAACCGCGGCGACAACGACGATGTCAGGTTCGTCAACATCTCATGGAATACTGCCAAATGAACTTAGTTCTGTAAATGTGATGAATGGACAATTGACAAAGGATCCTTCAGGATATTCTAATATTTCTACACCGAAGAATTCATTTCATGAAATGCCTCCAGGTTTCTTCTCAACAGCTGACTTTAAGGTGAGTTTATGTATATTTTTTTTCATGTCTGTGTATTTGTGTTATGTTTTTAATATAGCCCCCCCCTCCCCCAACTGACCACCTAATACAGCCGAGTTTGGGGATGAATTTGGCCTACTTCTTGAAATGCTCTCATCTAACCATGCTTCTTTATAGCCTCTGCTGGGTAAATCCTATTCAGTGCCTTCAAGCCACACAGCGTGTGGATGAGAACATCTGGCGCTTATAACTGGACTGGTGGACATATAGGTCTACCCAGTAGGGGAGCTTCAAAATATCTTGGTTCTAAATACATGGATAACGGAATTCTAAACGATCGAACGATTGAGTATGAGTCTGTCAGTTTTTGTCACCTGGAACTATGAGAATGCAGCTCCTCAGAGGCTGCTGCATTGCCTTGTGGCTTAGACGTTAAGTCAAAAGTTCGACGTGGAATGGTGGGTTGTATAAAGCAACAACTTGAGAATAGCAGTCTTTAATAAAAATGGTGTTTGCATTCCATCTCCCGTGTTCAGTGGTATAATATGGCAAGAAATATTGAGGTTAGACATAGAGTGTTAGGTAAGAAGGGAAGTCAGTCGAGGATGTTGTGAATCAATTGTGAAATGGTTAGGACGCGTGTTGTACAAATGCGAAAACACCGCCTTCATGGACAGGCAATGTGTTAGTTGACATAAGATCATGTTGGAAAAAGCTTAGAGGTGGTCGAAACACAACCTGTAGTCGATCCATGAAGTGTTTGACTGTCAGTTTGAGGCAGCTACTTAGGGAGGTGTAAACTGCCTAGTTGAGGTCCATCATGGGATGCTACAAAGGGCTTGCACACTAGTCAGTAGTTCACTCTGTCTTTCTTTATGGCTTTGAGACATGGTTATTGGAAACGGAAGACATGAAAAGGCTGGCTAGCTATCTTTGATCATAGGTGTCTGCGTTCTATTTCCAGTGTTAGGTGGTATAATACGATGAGTAATATTGAGGTTAGGCATCGATCGACTGTTAGGTAAGGAGGGGAAATTAGTCGACAAGATTGTGAAGTTATACCGATTGAGATGACTAGGAGATGTGTTACGCATGCCTAGCTTAGCCATCGCTTTCCTCGACGACAGGTGATATTAGCCGACTGACATGGAATGGATCAGATTGGAAAATAGCTAGTGGTTCTTAGTCAAATCAAAACATGGTTTCATCAGTCAATGAAATCTACAACAGTTAATTTAAGCCAGCCAGTCACGTAGGGAGGTGCAGACTTTCTGACTGGTTGAGTTCTTCGGGATAGTAAAAATCAATGAAGGCTGGAGATAATTGGTGATATGGCTTAAAACCCTCGTTCTCAATGGCTGCTGCAGTTACATTCACTCTGTTTTATACTATTGTGCTTTCCATATTACTATTCTTTTTGCCTCACGCGCTTCTGTTTATTATCTTTCTTTTGACGAATCTCTCTTTACTCTCTTCTCTTGCTGTATGTGCCACATCTGCACTGACGTCTGTGTCGAAAATCAGTCAGTCAATCAGTCAGTTGAATACATGAAGCTATAAATAATGATTTTTGTCTAATAGTAATGATAATAATAATAAAGCTTTATTTCAAACGATTTTAAGCCATATTACCAATTGTCTCCAGCCATTGGTGTTTACCGTCCTGAGGACCCCAACCGGTCAGGAAGTCTACACCTTCCTACGTGGCTGGCTTAAACTAACTGTTGTGGATTTCATTGACTGATAAAGCCACCATGTTTTGGTTTGACCACCGCTATCTCTTTTCCAACCTTACTGATCCTATGCCAGTTAACATTGCTCATCGTCGAGGAAGGCGATAGCTAGGCTAGGCCTGCGTAACACATGTCCTAACCATCTCAATCGATGTTGTGGAGAGAGGTGGCTGCTAGCCAAAAGTGGTAGACAGTATTCTACGTCGCAAATATTGGTCGTGAGAAAATATGAACAAGATTGATTCAACAACCAATCACAGCAGACTTTGCGTAGGCAGATACAGTTAACATATAGATGATCTGACATTCAAGAAACAGTCACAAAGAGATGCAAGGTCAACTTTCTGTGAGAAACAACCAATCAGAAGACTGTGTTTGTTTGCTTGAATAAGCTATAATAATATACATGAAAATATATAAATACGTGTTGATTTGCTTAATAAACGATCTGTTGCCTGGCCCTTGTTTTCTGTTGTTACAATGTAACTTCATAGCCTCGTCTATTTGATTGATTTCCCCTCTTCACCTTCAAGTAGCCCGCCTAACGTGTTTATAGTATTCTTGATAAACTTTCTTCTGTTTTGACTAATCCCCTATATTCGTCTTTTCTTTCTTTTCTCAAATATAAATGCAAAACAAAACCAATAGGCAATTATTGATCGAATGTCAGAAGTTCAAGAGGAGAATTGCACTCTACGTAGATTGAAAAAACGCTTAGAAGCTGATTTAACAGCTAAAAGTTTAGTTATTCAGAAGGAACTTGATAATTATCTGAAATCACCATCATCATCATCATCACAAAAGCCTACTCCCCCTCCACCTCCTACAACCCCAGCAGTAGCGTATTCTACAGTTGTCACTGGATCAACAGCGTCGACGACGACGACAACAATAGGATCATCATCATCATCAGCAGCAGCAGCAGCGAGTCACTATCGAGCTATTCGGAGTAATTCTCATATAGTTACCTCTTCATCTTCACCCTCCACCACCACCTACTCTTCAACAACTTCGTCATCAACATCTTTAGTTGCAAATAATCCGTTTACAAGTTTAACATGGTTTCCATTCATGAAAAGTACGCCGTCGAACTCGACTGATTCCTCCTTCACCTCATCGTCGTCGACGTCGTCTATGACATTATCTAGTGTTAATATACAAACTGTGAATCGTTTAAAGTTGATGTGTGAAGAATTACTCACAGAAAATATTCAATTAAAAGAACAATTACAACAGACAAATCAATGAACTTCCCGTGGATATTATTACCTCCGAAGGGTAAGATTTAATGAAACGGATGTGTGCTTTTATTTATTTATTCATTTATTTTTAATCGACAGAAAGCTTCGAAGGTGGGTGGGGGAGGTGCGAGGTGATTGGCGGCAGAATGTAGGAGGACTGCTCACCACGGATGCCTACATCCACATACATAGATACATCAACATCACGCTCTTGCTTTTGTTTATTTTATCACCTTGATTTTAACCTTAATTTTAATTTTGTTCAAAAAAGGTGTTTACCACTAATCTGAAGGCTATTCATTCAAATTATTCTTTTTTTTAAAGATCTTGCTTGGTGATTTTATTGTATGATTTTAGCATCCTGTAATACGATATATACATATATATACTACTGCTACTACTACTGTGTTGTCAAGTAGTGTTTTACGCTTTTTAATCGTGTGTACTTTACAGATGTGCTTGTTGACTAACTACTCTGTTCCTCTTATTACAGTAATTAATATACACGCTTATATGTATATTGTATACTAAATACTGGTGAGAGACATGCCGGCAGTCGCTTTTTTCTTTATTTGGCGAATCTCTCTCTCTTTTTTGCATCATCTTCGTCGTCGTCTATTTCTTCTTTTGTTCATAACTCCTTTAAGTTGTTCTTTATTGACAACATTCCACTCCATTCACCATATCACTCTTTTTCCTTAATATATATTGCACAGATGTTTATTATTATTATTACTACTGTTTATGTAGATATAATTTATTGATTTGATCTGATTTGATAAAAAAAACCAAACCAAAGTTTATTTATTTTTAAGTCAGTTTTGATTTTTCCGCTGATTGATTGAGTGATTGGTTGATTGATTAGACCAAAATAATCAGCCGCCGTGTTGACATGTGTCAGCTGTTTTCTAAAATCCTGCTGTTTAAAGCGTGTTACTAAGCTATTCAAATTGCTTATTAGAGTGAATGCAGTCACACTTTAATATATATATTTGCTATAGAGAAACTTGTGGAAGGTGCATCGGTGGCACACCGGTAGAATGCTCGCCAACCACACATGTGCTCCGAGGTACAACCGCTGGCCGACGACGCATTCCTCTACCTCGTAGTAGTAGTAAGCTAGTAGTAATAAGACTGGTAAAAAGGAAGGTTGGTGGCATGAGGCTATCAACCAACGCATCCCGTAAAAATAAACATCCACTACTACTGAGATTTCAAGCCTCTATCCTGAAGTTCTACGTTCCGCTAGGAAGGTAAAGGAATAAAGGAAAACGTCTAGTGGGAGACTGTCTACCAGAGAACATGGAGATCAAGACTATCAATTATGATAATTGAATAGTGTGAAATATTCCCATATCATAATGAATTAAAAGTCAATCTGAACGAAGAATATTCTTTTCGAAAATAATTTCTCCTTTTCAGGATCTTACACAATTATAAAATATAATATTCATTGCCGTTACAATAATGACAGCCAGTTAGTTATGCGGCGGATACATTTCTTTTTACGTAGAATAACAGATTAGCAGTTATGGGGTGTGAAAAAAAATAATCGTATTTGTGCGGCAAACGTTCTCTGGGCTGAAATCGATTACAAAATATTTCGGTGAAATGGGAAAGAATGGTTGTGATTAGTCTACCAGCAACAAGCTGGCAGAAGAAGCATCAAAGATAGGACTTCAGGTGAACGTAGATACAACAGAGGTGATGAAGATTCCTGGCCAACACCAACAACAACAATCAGCCAGAATAAATGGGAGGAACCTGAAAGAAACAACCTCCTTCACCTACCTACCTGGGAAGCATCGTTTTAACTACAAGCGGAATTGACGAGGATATCAAAGCAATGATCGGGAAAGCAAGACAAGCTTTCATTACTCTTAAGTCTGTGTGGAGGTCAACAGCCCCACTCAGCATGAAAATGAAAATAACATCCGGATTTTCAACTCCAATGTGAAGTCAGTGCTACTACTATACGGATCAGAGACTTGCACTGCGCGTCATAAAGAGCATCTCAAACAAAATTCAGATCTTTATTAAAGTTGTCTTCGCTCAATACTACTCAAGATCAGATGGCCGGCCAGAAAAGATCAGCAACAGGGATCTCTGGCAATGAGCAAACCAACAGAGCAGGAACCGACTGTGAAACAAATAGGCAGGAAGAAATGCAGTTGGTGGATTGGCTGGCCATACTCTGAGGAAACATACCATCAAGTGAGTGACATCACTAGACGAGCCATTGCTCGAGTGGAACCCGAAAGGGAAGCGGTGAGTTGGTCGCCGCACGGTGGGGTGACTTGGAGGTGGTCATGTGAAGAGGAGATGAAAGCATGTGGGCAGACTTGGAGCGGGGTGAAAAAGTTTGCAGAATACAGAAGGCAATGGAGATGTGCAGCTGAGGCCCTATGTTCCTCTAGGAATTAAAGGATATAAATAATAAAATGTCATAATAGATTTGTAGAGTATGGAGTAGGAAAATCTGACAAATCAGTTCAAGGTTATAAAAGATGTCAGCTGAGTGAGTGAGTGGCTAGTACAAAGTGGTATGTTTTAAAGAGGGGATAGATAGTAAGACTGCAATGGGAGGTTCGTAATGAAATAACGAATATGTGAAATGAAACAGGTGGAGGCATTTATTCAGAAAAGAGATAACATCACTAATAATAATAAGTCCGGATAGTGTAAATGGAAAATTCGATAGTATTGAGAGAATTAAGAAGACAGCTGCAGCGAAGAGAATTTCCTTTTCGACAAAGTCATCATCTAGGTTGTATTTACATCAAATGGATGGGAAAGTTCCAGAATAATTTCCGGTTAAGGGTTAAATTAATAAAAATTACAATTAGGAATCAAAATGCCATAATAAACAGGGGGACGGATAAAACTCAAACACAGTAGCATCATAATTACTGAGGTGATTGACATATTGTGCAATTAGGGGTTAGAAATGTAGAAATAACAACAATAGACAGGATGTTTGGATAAAAAACTAATGTGACTAACAATTGTTTATGTAGAAATAATAAAATGACAAAATAGACAGGAAGTTCGGATATGAAAATATGGTAGTGTAAATAGGGATTAAGAAAAACTTTAAAAAAAATAACATGAATAAACAGGAAGTTTAGATAAGAAAGGCGATGGGATGGTCATTACTAAAAAAAACTAGTTGTTTATGATGGCCATGGTAGGGACAGGGGTTGAACGTATTTCTTTTGAATAAAAAGCGTGGGTTTGAGCTTTTGGATAGCTAGTGCCTCGGCTATGCCCAGATGTCTTAATTTCACTCCCTTTGATAGGTTTGATTGAATCCTGTATATTACTTTGAAGGATTTTTCGAAAGGCGCTGAATGTCCTGAATTGACCAGATGTTCTGTCACTGAACTGTATACACGTTTGAGAGAATGTTTGCACGAAGGGAATAAATTATGACGAATAATAGTAATAATAATTGTAATAATAAGCAAAGGAAAAAAACCAACAGGGCTAAGGGGAAAAAGCACTCTCGGTGAGAAGAAAAAGAATCATCAATCCAAGTTTGGCCACGGTAGGAACAGCGTCTGGATGTGTTCTTTTTGGATACAAAGTTCCGGTTTTGTCGATCTTATTGCAACATCTTTAATTATATGTGTAGGAGATGTAAGTGAACTGTGCGTGATACCGACTTCGGAATTTAGTATATAACCCTGAAAGCTGTGTTGTGGCGTCAGTGCGATGTCCAGTATCGACCAAGCGTGACAGGATCGAGCTTTTTTATACTGCTGGTAGATTGGAAAATACCGGAGATACGAATTTCACCGTCTTCTTTGCAACTTGTTAGCTACTGGGTGTATCCTGTATTCCTATTAAAATGTAAACGGCACAACGTTATCCAATAGATCAATTGGGCACTATGAGAGTACAAGAGGTGTCAGTTATTATTTGTGTTTATTGATTCGATATTTATTTTCCTGCTGAGTGATCGATTGATTGATTGTTGGGATGGATGAATGGATGGGAGGGAATGTTCGGTCTCTGTAAACATCAATCTGTTACGAGTTTGTATGTAGTTGATAGAAACTCGTCGACAGGCGAATATCATCGAGTGAAGTTATACGTGGTTATAATTACATAGACACAATGGGCAATTTTTCGAATCCTTGAGCATAAGATATATACTGAGTTTCATTTTCGGACCACTGGGACAAAGCTCTGGAAACTATCTAGTCCCCTTGAAACACTATACATTAGAATTAGAATTAATAGCCCTACATCTATAATTAAACCAAAAATCTGAGTACGTTATGTTGAGGACACATGTGTAATAATTAAAAGAAATGATTAAGAATATACCCATAAATTAGTAAACAACATATATGAAGACATTAAATTCACCACGAGAGAAGAAGAATTAGACACACCATAATTCCATTCTTGGATGTTTTAATCAGGAGAACTGATACAGGAAATTTAGAAATACAAGTATGTAGAAAATCAATGCACACAGACTAAATACTCAACTGTTATAATAGTAATAACCCGATTATCACTCACAAAATAAACTGTGTGCAGATATTGTTTAAAAGAGTTCAAGCACAACACTGTAGCACTTCTCTGGTGTTAAAGAGAATGAAGGAGAAATACCCAACCAACCATCTTTAAAAAGAATGAATACCCTCACAATTTCATCATAAAGTGCTTAAGCTCGATTCACAACACCAAAAGAAACCGTCATGAAAGACTACAAGAAAATTCATCCTGCTATATATAAAGAATATCTCTAAGATAATGGCTAGAATATCAAAACCATTTGCAACAGACGTAGCATTCCAGGCAATACAACTAATTTAATTAGAACAAAGCAAGAACTACAGTTTTAACAGAATAAAGTGGTACCATCAGTGTTTATTTCGTTGCCTTCTCGTCAGCTGCTTACATGGCAGAGACATTAATAAATATATCTACAAAAACAAATTTTAACATACTTGCAAAGAGTTCATTTCAAACAAAAATCAATCGATCAATATT